TTAAAGAATTTTTACTATACAGCGAGCCAAGCATAAGCTACATCTTGCATTTTTTTTTAATGAAGAGAGACATACACATTAAATAAGAAATGGGTTAATCACGTACCATTGGACTTTTCACTGTCTGCAGGTTTCATCTGAATGGGATGATGCATCTAAAAATATAAATGAAAAGAAAGTAAGGTAGGTTGGATAGCTACAAAAATCAAGTACTCTACTGGCACCCCTGAGTTCAGCTGCTGAGGAGACTAACAGGATACATGATCAATCTTAAACAGGAAGAACGATATAAATTTCAAATAATACCATAATATTGGCTTTTGAATGGAAGCATAATGTTAAAGGAGGATTTTATAACTAGCAAGCTGAAAAAAATCCCCAAATCATTGGGCCCACAGGACTCATAAACTTTAATTTCTTGTATCTAGTTTCAGAAGACTCTTAAGTTACACCCTTCACTAGTTTATGACATGCTTGGTTTCTGTTTTACTGACTTTTGACTTTCCTTTTCTTGAGTTTGTGAACTACCACAGAACCAAGACAGAATTTTAATGTAATTTAAGATTTGCCAGGCAGCAGCAGAAACCTACACGACTTGAAGGAGTTTGGCTTAAGAAATGAACTTTTCCTCATGATTGATAGGTATGTGATTATTCCTTCCGTAACAAAGGGAGAGAGTTCTGTACTTCCTATAGCTCTTGCTTGTTTAGTATTTGACCTTCTCTTCAATATACTTTAAATTGCTTGTTCATAAAACTGCCTTTTATATGGAGTTACTACCCTGGCTGCAATAAAAAACCCTAACGCACTTTTCTTTTTTGAGCTGTTTCTCATAGGAAATGCCAAAAGAGAGGAAAACTCCTATGTAGAGCTTTATGCAGCGACTAGCGTGCTGTGCTGTACACAACGCTATTCTACAGCTTAGCACTGGAATGGCAAAGGCTTTGCCTTTCAGAGTGGATACTGCGCTACTCAGTCCCTAGCAGGCACACAGATTTGAATTTGAAAACACTAAAGAGATTAAATTACTACAAAGTGTTGCATTTGTTATACCATTTCTTGCAGACTCCCCCATATTTCTACCATTATATTAGTGGCACCAGTTCTTCAATGGTTAGAAAGTATCTGCAGAGCAATCCCACTGACCACAGTGCTACCATTCTTCCATCCTCACGGACACATTACTGACTGCACGCAACGATCATCTCTAAATGTTTATTTTAAGCCTTAACCTTGCAAATTGTTATACAGGGAAAGACAAAGGGGCCTGCATAGAGACTTAATGACTTCAGTGAGGCTCTGAATGTTTGCAAGCGTCTAACCACTTACAGCTCAAGGCAAGATCAGGGCCACAGACTCTTCTTTCTACAGTGAATCCTCTACGGCTAGGGACAGACATTACACATAAACTGGTTTAAGTGATCAGAAACTGGTTTAAACCTGTAGCAGAACAGATATTCAGTGCGCATAAACCAGTTTGAAAATGGCTGAAACCAGTTTGAGATAAACCTGGTTGAATGTAGTATCAGATTTAACTGATTTGGGTCAAACCAGTTTATGTAATGTCTGTCCTGGATCCCTTCCTGGTTTAACTTAAACCAGAGTCCCCCAGCATCCCAGATGCTTTGCAGCCCTGGGCGGGGCTCTCTGCTCCCGAGAACAGGCTGGCCCTGCCTCTCTGCTCCCTGGCTGGAGCTCCGCAGGCGCAGCAGTGTCTGCCTGGCTTCCCCTTGCTCCACTCCCCCCCACCTCCCCCACACTTGCTGCTCAAGCAGGGATTCCTCCCCTCTCCCACAGCAAGGACATAGCCAGCATGTGGTATGCTAGCTAATGCTGAGAGGTGTCTGTGTAAGGCAGACAGGAAAAAGGCAGACAGGATAGTAGTGTCTGCTTAGGGCTTTTTGGAGCTTATGAACAGGTCAGCTGGTAATGTCCCCCCATTCCTGCCTTGGAAAAAGTTGTTTAAGAAAAGCTTGAACTAATGAGTGAGGCTTTTGTTTTCTTGATGGGGTGCTAAATGCTCTGCTACTCCCTGTGTAACTAAATGCTGTACAACTCCTTGCTGGCTCCCTTACTAGTCAGGAGCAGCATGGTGGGGAGGACCCCACCCTAATCAGAGCATCCTTCTGGGGCCTGGCCATGCCCTGCTCAGCTCAGCAGTATGAAAGGGAAAGGAGAGCCACTATAGCACCCCCCCTGGCTTCTAGCCTGAGCCACTGCAGGCATGTGTCTGCATTTCTTCAGTCCAGAGGGGATATCTGTACAGTTACAAACTAGTTCAGCGTAGCCAAGTTAGACTAACCTGCAAAGATTGAATCAATTCAGGCTCAGGCTTTTTGAATGTCTGTCCCTAGCCTATACGTCAAATGGGGCATATTGAATAGTCTATGCATTCGGTGTAGTGGCTGGATACTTGTGGGTCACAGGTTACTTAAAACCATCAGCTACTATTCAGATTCTATTAGAAAAGAAAAGATGCTAAGAAGGAGATTGGGAAACAGAAACAATTAAGCACAAAATGGGAACTGTGCAATGATGTCAAATGTCTATTTAGAAACAGAGAGAAACTGACTATCATGTGTTGTTTTTGGTGGTGGTGTTTAGTTGCCAATGTCTGCTGGATTCGTTAGCCAGAAGAGAGAATTAGTGTGAGGGTGGTGTCACACATTCAATTTAACACTTATTAACTGCAGTTAAAATGCAAGCAGACACACATTCAAACAATTTAGCTCATGTTAAATGCCTTGTGGCATTGCTGCGCCCATTCAGGTGAGAGTTATCTCCCAACATGTACTAGCTTTAATAGGTCACACATTCCAGTGATTTCCAACTGTTGCAAGTGAACAGGTGACAAGGCCCTGGGTCTTCCATAAAAATCTGCTCAAAGTTCAGACTGTAGCTTGGACCCACAAATCAATAAATTCCTTGTTCTGTTTGAAAAAGCTCTTCCTTTTCATTCCCTGCTATGCCCTAAGGAAAAGACAGAAGCCACAAGGCAGATGTAGTCACTAGGATGCATAAACTGCTTCTGTTTTAACAATTCCATTCTCTTTGAACCATTTCTTTCCCAAATCAACTCTAACTGTCCAGAACCTGTCTGCCACAACTCTGGTTTCATCCAATTTATAGAAAAAGAGAATTTACGTCATGCACTATCTCCTTTAACTGATGCTAATTTTTAGTCTGTCATCAGCAATACTCTGTGCACTGTAGATGACTTAACTCACTGTACTTTCTCCCATTGTGAGAAAAATGAAACATGAAAAAGGGGCGTAGATTGCTAAAATGATTGCATTACATGCATTATGTCTTCATTAAGCAAAGCAGCTGAAAGATAAAAAGCCAAATGTGGAAAGGAATTGTTTAGGTGAATGTATAAATATATAACTGGAGCAATAAGCAAAGGAAATTTAGGCCTGAGTGGTCAGAGGTATTTCTTTACATACTATGTACCTATTAAGGTTCATTAGGTTGAAGACGAGTCTTCTGGGGAAATGCAGGATTTACCAATACCTGGGTTATTTCAAATGGCCACTGCTCTGGAGAATATGCAGTAATGGAAAATAAAACAAACCAACCAAACTCTGAACTGGACAGGAAATCTACCTGCCTTTCTTCCAGTACCGATAAATCACTTCCTTTTGTAGTATCAAAACAGACTCAGAAGATATGTAGTTGCATCTCTGATTTCGATAATGATATGATTCTAATTTGTGGGGATCTTTTTAGCACGGAAGCCAATTTGATCAAGTTCGTAACACAAGAGTTCTTCGCAATACAGTGGCCACCATCATTTACCCACAGTGGTCACCGTATCACAATCAATCCACTTCTACGAGGGAATAAATACTACAGATCTGCTAGTGTTACATTCGCAAAGAAATTAAGAATCTTCCTCTTGCGCCAACTGTGACTGGTTTGTCCATGACGTCCTGACCAGGGTTAGGAACAAACATTGCCAAATGGAGGGGATCAGCTGTGCAGTACGTGGTATCGGAGCTCGTTGGCTGATTGACAGTCTGAGACCTGGGACTGCACCACAGTGAGTTCGAAACTTCGGTGTGGTCCACAGGATGAGACCCAGGAATGACACCGGAGTGTCCCAGCTTTCCCTGTGGGGAAAACTGGGATTCCTTCCTTGCAGAGATGTGCCCGGGCAATCTCTGGGGTGAGTTTCTTGAAGTAGGGAGCCCCATCTTTTCCTGTGTCCAGAGACTACCCCACTTCCTGGGCTTGAGGGGCCCAATCCTGCATAGGAATTCCTGAGGCATGCAGGACCAGGACCCCCAAACCCAAAAAATGCCTGCTAGGGGTGGCGGGATAGTGTGGGCAGCTCTGGCTGCGTGTGCTCTCCCACCATAAAGCAAATAATCCTGCTGCAATAAAGCAGCATGTTTGGGTACAAAAAAAGGTATAAATGTCTAATGTGTTTGCTGTCTCTTTGTGCCTCCATAAACATTTTTTAGGTTGAAGAAGAGTCTTCTGGGGTAATGCAGGATTTTTATGGAGGCACAAAGGCTGCATTTGTTTCTACCCTTAAACTATGCAGGCCACATTCTCTTCTGTAAACCAGGAATAACTCTGTTGTAGTCCATAGAGTTACAATCATGCACAACTAATGTGAGATGGGAAGGAGGTCCCGAGAGCTGAAACTGCAGGGCAGCCACGGTGAAATGGGTGCAGAACACAAACATGGGGCTGGAAAGAAAAGGGTGGTAAAGAATGTTACCCTGTCAAGTTCCTAACACGAGAGGGCTCGTGTTGAAGCTTGTTTAACCCTGGCCATCACCAATTGATAAGTTAACAACCTTTAACACTAGATTCAATAAAACATGCCATTTATAACCTGAAATGGGTTTTACAGAGTCACTGGTTCGCATCTCATTATGAAACTCATTGCTGACCTCTAGAGACAACTGCCGTGACAATACATATTATAAGCCCTCTGCCCATAAAATATTTAAAGGCAGGGGAAAAAAAAAAGAATGAATCTGGAAGAGGTGTGCAGTGAATGAGAAAATTAAAGGGACAGAGACAAAGGCTAAATGGGTACTTTCCTTTCACTCTACAATGAGCGCCAAGAAAGAAAAAAAAAAGAAAAAAAGAAAATCATCTCTGCCTTTTCCATCTTGCTTGTATAACTGTAGGCTATAAA